CACGCATGCGGTCGGAGATCCACTGGAATCGCCCCTGCTTCGTCTTGTACTTATGCACACCGCTCGCATCAGCCATGAGAGCATCGTCCTCGCCGCAGATCCTCGCCAGCATGACACGCTCCTCCAACGACCAAGGCACATGTTTCTTCGTCGTGCCCTCCGGCCGGGGAGCCCGTCTGGACCGGCCACCCCTCCCTCCTTGGCTGTTTTCTGTCGTCGACGGGGCGGCCCCCGCTTGTGCGGGACTGGATGTGGGCAGCGCATCGCTGCCACGTCTCTTTCTCGTCGAAGATTCTGTCTCCGTCTGAGGTCAGTCGACAACCGGACTGCTGCGCCGGTCATCAGATGTATGAACCTCACTACCAGGCTGCCTTGTTTCTTCTGCCGGGAAGTTACATCTCCCACCACCCACTGTGGATCCCGCTGCGTCGTGCCCTGCCTGCCACCCCGCGGACGTTCCATGACCGACTCCCACTTGCATGCTGCCTGCAGACTGCAGACCATCTGCAACTGTCGGTCGATGCACCGGTGGAGAGGACGATGATCGGCTACGACTATTCATCAGCCTTTGACGAGAACCCACGTCGGTGACGTCATTCACATTCCAGTTGGCAGTCGGTGATGGCAGGCGCTGCTGCCCCGTGGATCCCGTTCTTAGTTGCATGCCAAATGGAGATGCTGGCAGATTCTCGTTCTGCGCTCCACGCCAAGCTCGTGCATGACCCTCCTGCCCGTCGCCACGTCCCCACAAGCCGAACACAGGTGAGAATCCCGGGCGAGACGGGTCGCCAGCTTCCTGCATCCTGCAATACGAACGTGCATCCACGTCAGACGATCCTCCGCGATCGGCACCCGGACCTGATACATGACCAGCACCTCCCAGACCCGACGGCGTGTAAGCGACTGAGGCTGCACTCTGTGTTCAACAACGTCGAACTGTGTTTGACACCAACTTCGCCCTCCACCAAGGTGTAACGACCTGTATCGGTCGGCATGGCTGTCCACGCACTCTTCTGACCCCCCGTATGCATGTCGACCGTCACGACGCTCCACGTAACATGGGTCCCCTGCATGTCCCAGCTCCATCGTCGCTGGGCCGTCGTAATCGCCCATCAGCTTCGACGTGAACCCCCCTCCCTCCATGGCTCTCTCTCTCTCTCTCTCTCTCTCTCTCTCTCTCTCTCTCTCTCTCTCTCTCTCTCTCTCACACACACACACTTATGAAGTGACAGCCTTGATATGATGTACGCAATAGCCACAACGCCAACCAAAAAACAGGATCAAACCAAACAGGAAGAAGACGACTGCCGTGATGACGATGGCGCCTCCAACGCCACAGCAAACCAACGACAGCGGCAAGCACTCGTATAGAGGGCAGGTTATCACCACCTGTGGCATGCAACATGCACGAGGCGTCCCACACGAGTGGAAGATGACATTCCCCGCCGGAGCACCCTCCACACACGTCGCTTGACAGTCGATCGGTCCATCCGCAGCGCCTCTCACACGTGGTCTCTGCCCATCGACCTTACATCGATCGATCGGGGCCCCGGTTTGCCATCTGATTGCCGGTGGCAGCGCAGCCGCCAAGGTGCATGGTGGAGGCGAAAGGTTGGGGAATGCGACGCGGAACTTCGCCGCACACTTCGTCACTCCAGAATGCACAACCGGCTGCGGAGCAGAGAACGGACGAAAGAAGAGGCCACACCGAGGGGGGGCAAGGTTCATGGGAGGAGGAGGGCGAGTGTGCGCAGGGTTGCCGTGTCGTGCATGTATGTGGGTCGTCGACAGCGCTGGCCACCCCTGCAGGACATGGCGGTCAGGCCAAAAACAGGACCCGCGACGAAGCGCGGGTGCAACGGCACGCATTGCAGGCAGGTGTGTGGAACCGGTGTGCGTCTGTGTGTAGTGTGGCGATGGTGTCTTCAGGCAGTCCACAGGGAAGGTTTATGCCGGCTGCACAGCGCACACGGGGCCATGCACAGCCGTTCGTAATTTCAAAAGAAAACTAGGGCGCTGTCAAGGTTACAGTTTGAAGATACATTTCAAACTGCCGTTTTGGAGTCCAGTCCCCTCCCAAGTTTACACTGCAGTCCAAACTCCGCCGTCGCGTGGCTGTCGCAGGGCAGAGTTCGTAACTGCAGTCTACGTCGGAGGGCCAGGCCGGGGTCCTCACAATTCTACCCGGGAGAATACTGGGGCCATTACCCAGACTAGGCTTTCTGGAAACCGGGTCCAGAGTCCCATCAAGATAAAAACCAAAAACATCCATCGTTCTCCTTTCATTATTCCCTTGCCTCTCTTCCCAAAAAAATTAAACTTGAAGCTCAGTAAAAGATTCATCCACCTTCTACTCCTTCTAAATAAACTCCAATCACTTAAGTAGAGGGGATCATCTGACTGTACGGGGATTTCTTTATACACCGGCCCCAGAAGACTAATCCAAATCTCCTTCAATCCGGTTTCCCTTTTTTTTTTTTTTTTTTTTTTTTTTTTTTTT